ATACGTAAGCGATGACTAATACGATTTGGATTTTGATAAATTATAAAGGGTTATAAATCATAAATGTCCGAGCGGTCATTACAGTTGAACAATTATTTCGAGGAAATTAAGCCGTCTCCGTTGGGTGCGCTCTGTAGTAAGCTCGAGTTATTGATTTTGAATATATTCATTAATATAAGTTTAGAATACTCGACGCCTAACGGCATATACCAAACCCATTGGTATGATAGAATGATTAAAATGTATAGATTTTTTTGCATGTAACTTCGGTGATAATAAACGTAATGAATGCCAAATATTGTTGATGCATGTATTCCAATTATTATATATTTATATCAACGCGGAAGTAAGCTACAGTAGGTCAATGTATATATAGTAATAATATAATGACTAATATGTAATACCTTTCATATTATTATGATAATTTTCGCACAAAGAAAGTGAAATGTAACTCAGAATTACGTAGGTAGTCAAAACAATTATATATTATGATCAATGCTTTAACGTGTTATCTTACATTCGGATCGTTAGTAATGTTTTTGCATAATTTATAATTATTTTCTTCACCTCCGAATACATCCGAACGTGTATATTAAATTATTACAGCAAATAAAAACGTGCCTAAGTACACTTTCAAGTAAAAGTTGAACACTTGAATTATTTTTAAATTCATTCGTATACTGTTCACATATACATGCCCAATATTGTGTACATTTCGGAATATTTCGTGCTTGGCGAACCATGAAAAGTGTATACCCGGTAAACAATAATGGAGACAATTGGCTTGGGACGGGCAAATAGGTATACCTAGTGTATAATATAGACTACAGTGATATGTATGTGTGTGCATGTGTGTATTGTAGGCACTATTATGGGCGCACATACGTGACCAAATATAATTATTGAGTAGGCGAGCCGTGCAGTCCAATATATTAGGTATGGGTATAATATGTATATTACTGTGGTCGAATTGTCCAATTAAAGAATTATATAAGATAACGTAAAAGAGACGATCGAATAAAAAATATGTAAAATAATATACCTATAAGTAATGTTATATTCGTATTTGGTTGCAGATCTCGACGGTTGAGAACTCAATCGACAGAACTTGTTTAATATTTTTACACTCGAGAAATACTCATGTGGAAATATAATGAGTATACTCGTATTTGCACCACAATACATATATGTATTCGCAATTTTCATTTTATTACAGCTGGTCGATAAAATAGTTGCTGTGTTAGAAATGTTAAAATGTGTGAATAATGTAAAATGTTATTATTGGTCATGCATCATTTTTGTAGTTTGTGTTTAATATAATGTATATATTATATGCTCGGGACGATTAATATAATATCGATATCAGAGTATCCAAATATTATCTGATAATATACCTACCTGTACGGCTGTACCTGTCAACGATAAAGCTAAGAAAACACAAAATTTAAAAATAATTCTAGGATAAATGGACACAATATCTAGAAACTATGTCAGCTATATTCATCCGCGTAAACAATAAATTGTTTGAATATTATCAGAGATATCGTTTAAAATACCCAACGGAATGGTATTGTAGTGAAATCAAATATCAATCTAAATTACCTTATACATCTCTATGACGCATAATTGAATTCGATTATGTTAGGTACCTATGTGAATATTATTAAAGTCCAACTCTACATACTGTGTTTGAAATAATTTTTCAACTAAATAATATGACGTATAGGTAGTCTGCTATACTTATTATTATACTATTAGACACTTATTGAAGTTCAAATTGTATTAAATATTGTTTTACTTTTAGTCCTGAACATCAAACCTGACAATGACGTATTTATTTTCAACTGAGTTTAGTATTTTTTTATCTAGGAATATATAATATAGGTGTGGTACTGTATTACTGCAAGAGTGCAAAAACTCTATACCTACTACCTAGTACCTACCTACTATTATTATGTTATTTGATAGGATGTAGTCTGTAGTGGCAACGCTACACAGTTTAAATGCCTACATGTCTTAAGTGTAAAGGTAATAAAAAATGCCCTACAATACGTATACCACGATTTACAGTATGTTTAAATACTATCTTTATTCGTGTACTACAATTTGTGTCAAACTAGTAAAAACATCCATTATATAATAAATGTCTACATAAAAAGTGTCTACTATCATAATCTATTTTATATACATTTCTTTTCCCTCCACTTTGACAAATAAAGAATGATTCATTTTGAGGCGATGACTATATTCTTCCTCTCAAATATGTATCATTTTCATAAATGATCTTAAATTACGACTTTTGAATTATTACAATGTATTTGGACTTAATCGTGATTAATTGCATGCGAATTATTTATCGAATGTCGAATTCTGTATGGCTCACTCTTATAATTGCGTTCTGAGAACTTCGTTATCTCTTTCATCGTCAAGTTGAATATTTTTAAAAAACTGCCAAATTTTTAGAATAATGAGTTTGCAGCATTTCTTGAAATTTAAAGTGCCGTTTTTTAATCTTATTTGTTCTATCGATACATCGAATCCATCAATAACGTTTTAGTTAACACTTAACATTTCAATTTTTTTTATTTGAATCTGAATATTATTTTTAATAAAAATAAAAATATATATTCTAAAATATTCATCAAAAAACTGGTCGCTCGTTTGCTACGTAGGTTTGTGTACGTATAATATAAAGTATATACTTTAATGAAACATTTTTGAATGAGTTACATTTTTGGTTAGACATTATTGTGGTGGATTTTTTTTTGTTGTGACTATTTTTTTAAAATAGACTTGTTTTGTACGACTATTTAAAAATAGACTATTTTTAATATACAAAAAGGCCTTCAATCGTGACAACGCAATAAATATAACTTGTATACTTCCACCAGTCAAACACTATTTTGTAATGACTTTTACTTTTACGGGGAGCAGAATTATGGGGTGAATTATGTGATGTCGATCCCTATCGTAATGGACAATATTTATCAGGAACTGTTAATCACGCATCGGGGTTGATCCCTCACGTATACTGCAACTACTAATTCAGCATAAATAACACATATACCATGTTGGAAGTTTCAACAATGACCGACGTGTCTGTATGTTCAGAGATTAATATTTCCTCACACAGACTTTATACGCGGACACCGATCACTCGTTATGTTTGACGTATGAGAAGCTCATATTGTGAAGTAATACGCAGTATGAGGTACTTAATGTGTATTACTGTAAGCCATTAAGGTATACAAGAAAGAATAGAAATTCCACAGCGACATTCACTGAGATTTTTCGTACAGGGATGATTTTCAGTGAGTAAGGTACATAATATTGTGTATTACACTGTCAGTGATCGGCGTGATCCATTATGTGTGTAAGATTATGCCTTCGTATATATAGGTTTAATTCTTCGTTGGTTTAATTTTGTGTACTATATTGCTAGTCGTCGTCGTTTTATTATATTCAGCTGCAATTGTATCATTAGGTGAGTGTAGTATGCATTTAATGTACAATACCTATTCTTAATAGAGTGTCGGAAAACTTCACAAAACTCGTGTACAATGATGATTCGCAATATAGATAATACACATTTGTAGGAATGGTGTTATGATGTTGTTGTTACATGAATTGTGGAACACTTGGTTTTTCTCGCATTAAACTATAATAATATATATTGTGATGCCCAATATGACTATCAAATGTTACACTAATTTAATAAATATTTGAACGCCTATAAAATGAATAGACAATTTTATGGAGAACAATATCCAATAATATTCAGCGCGGTTCATTGCAGACTTGTTCCAAATCCGACACATAAAATACAATTTGCTTAACATATGTTGTAGTAAATATTTGAAGCTAATTGGCTATAGTTAGTTATAAAACTATATTTATTGGTAAACTAGATTTTCTATAACTTTTGAAAGGCAAAATTATTACTGAAATAAATAATAACTAGTGTCTGGTAATCGATAATATTTTTGATTAAAATCACCAAGTATAGAGAAATTATTTTTTTTAATCCGGCCTTCTCAGACATGTACCGATATAATAACTAATCAGTCGTAAATAGTTTATAAGAATAATATATATATATGCTATACTATTCTACCAAGTTTTTAAATTAAGTTATAAGTCTAGAAAAAAAGTATATGCATTATGGAACTAATCATACATCTATAAGATACAAATTTACTTTCGATTTTTAGGGAAGGGGAGCAAAATAAAATGTTTGCATCCGCCAGATGGACCCTCGTCCCACCTAAAGCCACTTATTATTATGACCCGAACGATGCGTCCGCTTATATATATAGTATAACTATATTACTAGCTACTATTCTTAGCATAAAATATAGGAGACTGTAACTCTGTAAGCCTGTGATCAAGTTATGCTCTACAGTTGTTTGAACCTAAAAAATTTAAAAAATAATCAACTCCAATGTTTTCCAAAAATTTTAAATGAAACAAAATACAATTAGGTTGGCATATGCCTGTACATATTTTAGGTATCGTATTACTATATAACACAATACCTTACGCCTATCATACATCTATATAATATTATAGTAATTGTTTCAAATCTCTATAAATATATTTTATATATGTAGATACATGTAGATATAATATAATATAAAGTATATTATAATTGTATGTATAATTCAACTCACGTCATGTATTACATAATAATAATGTAAAATAATAACTTACACCGTAATTTTTCGTAAGCAGATAGATGATACGCCCACGTAATGTCACAACTTGTCACAGTTGTATATTACATATTTTTATATACCTACTATAATATCTTCCATGGGCACCTACAACTGCATATTTTATACCTATATACTCTATACCACGTGGTTGTTCTGATATCTAAAAAAATGTATAATGATATAATACAACAATCGCAAAGTAAATGTGTCTATACTTATACTATAATCTATAAGTGCTTATAAAACGTTGTAATATCATCGTGTTTTTTGGTTGGCTGTTTGCAGCAGACTGCAGTTTCCGGCTGTCCGACGACGACTCGCAGCTGCAGCCGCACGCGCCCAAACTGCGACCGCGGCCGACGGTGAATGCCCGTCAGCTGTATTATGCTGTCGTACATGGCGCCATCCGTTAGCGACAAGCCGCCAACGGTGCCCAGCCGGCTGGTGCTGGAACACAAGTCGTCCGCGGCCGCGGCCACGGCGTACCACCGGTTCAGCCGACCGGCGTCCAGCGTCACATTCAACGTGCAGCAGCTGGACGGTCACCAGCAGCGTGAAGGGTTTGGCGCCCTGCCCGTACCGCCCGTCCGGCGAACCATGGTAAAAGAGGACAGCACGAGCAGCATCGCATCCAGCGTCAACATCGACGCTGTGCTGCCGGCCACGCACGAGAGTAAACGGCCGGCCACCAAACCGGCTGCTTCCAAAAGGTTAGTTTGTATTTCGATTTTTAAGTAATTTAATTTACGAATTACGCCAACTGAATTTTTTACCCCACTCACTATGTATAAGCTGCATACGTCTCGATTCCAATAAGGGAAAATTGTAATCGGCTGTTGAAAAAAAAAATCTAAGCACATAGATCGTTTTGATTTAATAATTTTTTATTTTATAATGTATTTAAGTACATTTTTATTCTTTTGAACACATGACCTATATAAAAGTTAAAGCCATATCGCTATTTATGTAAAATTAAATACAATTATTATTAGTAATAACAAATATTATTTTATGTTCCTAATATTTTTAAAATATATTATTAATTAATGCGTTCCTATAATGATATTACAATTAATAACAACAATAAATAGGTAGTATTACATTAACAATTGATAATAAAAAAAATCAATACATGACAACAAGATAATTATAAAATATTCATAAAATGAATCTATTCATACATTAAATATGCGATGAATGTTTATAAGCCTCCGTAGAAAGTTTAGTTTATCACACTAAAAACACCACGTTCTCTCAAAAAAAAATTTGAAAAGTGCAGATGTTACTATACTTTTTTGTTATTGTCAATTTGGAGGTTTCGTTTACATCGATCGGCCTGAAAAAAATCGCCGGTTATATGTCCAGACCATGAAGAATGAATGTATAATATATGTATTCTTCATGGTGTAGACGTTTATAGTTGTTGTGTACCTGCGTTTATAAATCTAAGCTGCAAATATTATGCCTGATATCAATTATCAAACCAACGTCGCCATACGTATACAAACGCAGAGTTTTATGAGAACCCTATTGAACGTTTTATATGCGTCTAATGCTTATACTCTATACTGGTGTGCGTAGCCCGTGAACGGACATACAGTGTTGGTTCTTCCTACAATTTCCGACGTGTAATCAATTAAATGTGTATTATATTTTATTACGAAGCGTTACATAACCCACTTCGCTGACTTTTAGTTTTAATATTTTACTGCAGCAAACACACATAGGTGTACCGTCATACCCATCGCCGTGTGTTATATTCTGTGTATTAGTATATTACTTCAACAATAATGGTCTCCTTTTATCGTGCGTATTTCGATGAGCTCTTACCGTTTTTTATTCCGTGAATTTAATAATATAATATAAATAACTATAAAAAAAAAATGAATGCCATGCACCGCGACGGATTGGCTCTCCGTTTGCGAACACGCTCCGATACGGTTCGCTTTATGTACTTACATACAATATTGAGCTTATGTTATAAATTATTATGAGCATTATTTCGCGTCGGTGCACCGAAGACGTGTACCTCTTTTTTTATACTATTTATTTATTTATTTATTATTGCTAACGCCCAGGATAAAATAACAGATAACTTACAGTTTTAAATAATTTTTATTCTCTTAATTAATTATTAAGTTTTTTTTTTTAATTTATTGCTATTAAAATAAAAAAAGTATATTAGTATACCTACAACCTACCTAAGTTATATTAAAAAATTAAAATCAACTTAACTTAAACTTATCAACTCATATAATGCCCATTACCCAGCATTGCAGTTAGATAAGAAAAATAAATCAAGATTACGCGATTTGCCTACTAAATGACTGATGATCAAGTTGCGTCTGGAGTTCCGAGTCTGGACTAATCTGACTGAAGTTTCCGGTTCTTATCAATTTATGGTGCAAGAAACAGCGTATCTCTAACTGATTATTTATATTATATACCTAATATCCCACGTAAAATGCACCACAGTAAACAGTTATCTGTATCGAGTGCTCGTTTAGAAAACATTTAAAATTCCGTGTTTAATCGACAATCGTGTTGTCGGAATTGCCTGCAGGCTGCAGTATTGCGCGTGTATAGAGTGCAATTAATCGCTATTATTGTTATTATGTTCAGTTATCGTAACATAACACGCAAATACGCGATTCGATTAGATTCAAGAGTAGTTCAGAGTTTCTGCAGACGCGCATACTCCGCGACCACACGAATATAAAATCCAAGAGTTTTTGGTGTCCACGCAAATAAGAAAGAAAAATCCACAATTTTAATATAAAATAAAATCACTATACTTAGGTTAATTATAATTTAAGTACCAGCAATGAAATGTGTCAACTTTAAATGTCCACCCCTGATCCCTTTAAGTAACTGTGCTTTATATAAATACAGCCAACACCCACCGACCTCCCCCCCCCCCCCAAAAAAAAAAAAAAAATTCTTAATCCAAATAAGACATTAATTAAATGTATAATATTGAACTTATAGGTATAAATAAAAGTGATACTAATATACCATAATAGCTCATGATTAATTTATTAACTATTTAAGTATTTAATTTAATAATTCAATGTATATAATAAAGTGATGAATATATTTAGGATGAAATGAGTAGGTGGATATTAAAAATGAAAAAAAAGGTTTTTATGACGTCCTTCCGTGATAAAAATTCTAGTGTTTATATTTAGAAAATGTTTTATAACGTATTATATAAAATGTACATTTTTAACAATTTTTCAAAGAATAACGATATGATATGAACGAATAATGATTTATTATAATAATAGTCTTTTTAAATATAAATTTTGACCTTGACCTTTTTATATTAAAAATTCTATCATCAGATAGGTAAATTTTATTATAATTATAATTTCAATTTGATGAATTTGATTCAGTGGCACTTAAATGTATATAGGTGGTTCAATCCAAAAACACACGTCAAATCTTTTTGAGTTTTAGTTATAAAAAATAAAAATTTCTCAGATTTTTAAAACCTATATAATTTCAAGTTATGGTATGCAATCAATTGCAAAAAGAGAAAAAAAAATAAACTAGTAAGGCGATGAAAAATCTACTTATATCTACTGGCTATATTACCATAATATCGTTGACGTACACATAATGTATAATAATATTATAGGTTTGATAGTCAATGGACGATTGGCTCGCTATTAAGTGTTTAATGATTGTATATACAACCCTGTAAAAGTATACTTAAAATATATATAACGTATAATACAAATATATATTATACAACATATTATATTTACTTAAAGGTGCCTACTTCCATGTTTAAATTGGGAATTACACGACACTAATATAGTTAAATAATCTACATTTGAATATTAGGTACAATTGTCAATTATTGTGAGTGTAACCAATGGAACCCTATATTTAATTAATACCTATATGATAATTATCATATTAATACATTGACAATAATTATTCACCGTCGAGAAACATTATATTATAATCAAAATGTTAGGCCGTATTAATTTTCAAGTTATAAATCTATTAATCAGGCGTTAAGAGTATATAATATGTTATTCCGGACTCGAGTTAAGGATAATTTGACTGTTTAGTTACTCGAGACCATTGGGGTTGTATTAGTTTGTACATTTTGGATTATTAAAGGTGTCAATGGGGTCCCAATGTCCCATAGGTTAATGCGGATGAAAATCCTTGATCTAATGTGACTTTATAATATTGTACTTACACGAGATTAAATTTAAAATACAAATTACCTACATTGCTTCTATAATATGTATTCTGTACCTAAAACTAATTGAAATCTAAATTATTTAAGTGGTTGAAGTAGCTTATTGCAAAACCCTTCATTTTAAACGAACGTAAAATGATTATACTGTGGTTTGATTCAGGTAGGTACCTCATTGCATCACATATTTAATACCAACTGCAGTTATTAATTTTAAAGGTATACTTATTCCTAATTATATGATGTCTAGTTCGGTTTATGTATGAATAAATAAAAATGCAAGAAGATCCAATTATGAACCTCTCCCTAAAAATATATACCTATCCGAGATTTTCTTCCTGTATTAACACTTAAAATTAACGTTTACAATATTATTATGATATTTACAGTAGAATATTAATTTTTTGTTTTTTTAAAAATATTAAATTCATAGGCATTATACTAGTACAGGTACCTTACATAATATGTACTTTATACTGTTTTCTGTATAGGCATTTTCAGGTGACAATTTATTGATTTTCAATCGCTTATATGTTAACAATGTAACTTTAAGCATTGTGTAAAAATACCGTTTACTTTTTTTGATTCATTGTCGAACTATCCAAAAAACGAGAAGAGCGTAAAAAAATGTTTACCCTTTTAGTCCCTAAGGATTTTCAAAACTCTTTTTGATGCAGCCTTTTGAAAATTATTTATAACGAAAGAAGGCATCCATTGCAGTATTGTGTCGTTGATATTTATATTATTTTGTCCAAATAAAATGGTAACATTTTTATTCTTACAAACACTATTTGCTTGATTAAAGCTCTTAAAGTTAAATTTAAAAGTACTGCCTATTAATATTACCTAATAATGGAAAGAAGACTCATATTTATTATTATTATTATTATTATCACCAACCTTAGAACAACTTTTATTTTATATGATATATTGTTTACAGTGACTCCTCTTATTTTATGTTTTGGACCTTGGTGTGATTGATTATAAACTTAGACCGCCCGCCTAACCGTTTAATTTATCCTACAATTTTAAACACCAAAATTGGTTATGACCACTAATTAACTAAGCGAAGAAAGGATATACGCGTGTATCTTGAATATTAGACCTATTTTAATATAATTTAAATTAAACATTATCAAATCCTCTAAAAATATAAATATTTTAGGGCTTAGGTAGTTAGTAAATTATATTATATAGTGTGTAGTGTAATATCAATTGTGTATATTATACTGTGTACTATGCTTAATAGCTTATAAATAAAGGTTTATTTATACCTTGAATAATTCAATGATATGTTCATGACAAGATATTTTAAACTATGATATAGTTTCTATTAGAAAACCATTGAATTATACTTAGAACACAAATAACAATTTAGTGCCAAAAAATGTGACTTTCAAAATCTGGCGCTAAATATGCGCAATATTATGAAATTTCTTAAAAGCTCCCGATAGGTCATAAATAACTTATAGTTTTATTTTTTGTCAATGAAGT